GCACGTGGACAGCCCTGACAAAAAGTTCCTTATCACGAGCGTCCATGTTTACGAAATCACTGATGATAGCATTGCGTACGGACGATCATGCGTGCGAAAATGTCCGGTGCACTATAAATCTGTATCACACCTGCTTCGACGGCAGCGGTTTGAAACTGTAAACAACTGATTTTTGGTCTGCGGATTTCAATTAGACATTTCATAGTAACCAGCAGTGATATTGGACAAACTAATACTCGTTTGGCTACAAGGTAACGTACTTATTAACTACACAAGGTGCCAGTTACTCTAGCATTCATCAACATTGCATAATCAATGGACCTATTATTCCTTTAAGTTAAGGGGGAAATATATGCCCACTCCATTGACACATCTTGACCTTTGACCCTTGACCCGCAAATTCGACATCTCGAGTCTTTTTCGCCCCCCTCCGTTTCGAGGCCCGCCAAGCCAAGCATAATGCGCGCGGGCATGACGTCACACACACACGGCTACAGTGATCGATCGAAAGTAGCGCCGTTAGGGATTTTCGGATGATATATATACGTCCTCTTTACATTTTCACGGAAAGAACATTTCCTGCAGGATTTCACGAGATATCTTTGGCAAGAGTAGGTAAGAACAAAGGACAGAGTAATAATTCAAACAAGTGAACAAATAGCTACAGATATATACCAAGATGGAGACTGTTTGGTGTGTTTTCGTTCTGTAGTCGTGTGAAATGAAGCGAGCGTCGAGAAAATTTTGCGATCACGCTTTCATACCGGCTCTCTTATTCGTGTTGTTTGTGCACAGGGCGGGCGTGCGGTGTACTTGTGTGTTGCAGATGAGCATTTGACCGGCATTTACGGGTAATTATCGGCAATAATAAGTGAAATAGTGTAGAGAAACATTAAGACTTTGGTAGTAAATACATTTCAGGTTCACTTTTTTTTTTTTTTATTGAGACGTTCCAAGTGCATGTGAGGCGACCGGTTCCAAACGCATAGCCACTACGTATAAATAAAAAGGAGAGTCCATTGAAGACTGGACTCGCAGCTAGGGCCTGCATACCTCCCAAAGTCCCATTGGTTGATACAAATCTATTTAATTTTTTAAATTAAATTGTAATGTGTTAGGATTAGGGTTAGGGTAAAGCCTAGGACACACTAGCGATTCTGTACGCTGTGACTTAGAACACCTATATTCACATCTCTCACATGCAAACGGTTTTTCTCCCGTGTGAGTGCGCATGTGTATCTTGAGATCACTGGAGGTCCTACACCTATATTCACATCTCTCACATGCAAACGGTTTTTCTCCCGTGTGAGTGCGCATGTGTATCTTGAGATCACTGCAGCTCCTACACCTGTGTTCACATATATCGCACGCAAACGACTTCTCTCCGGTGTGAGTGAGAATGTGTTTCTTGAGAGTAACCGCAGTCGTAAACCTGTATTCACATATATTGCATGCAAATCTTTTCTCTCCCGTGTGAGTGCGCATGTGTATCTTGAGTCTACTAGACGTCCCACACCTGTATTCACACGTGTCACACGCATACGGTTTCTCTCCCGTGTGAGTGCTAATGTGTTGTTTAAGATTGCCTAGGATCGTAAACCTGGCCCCACATATATCACACATGCACGGCTTATCTCCTGTGTGAGTGAGCATGTGATTCCTGAGAGAACTGGAGGACGTGCACCTGTATTCACAACTATTGCACGTAAACGGCTTTTCTCCCGTGTGAGTGCGCATGTGTGTCTTGAGATAAGCGGAGGTCGTACACCTGTATTCACACTTGTCGCACGCAAATGGTTTTTCTCCCGTGTGAGTGCGCATGTGTAACTTGAGAAGACTGGATCTCCTACACCTGTATTCACACTTGTCGCATGCAAATGGTTTCTCTCCCGTGTGAGTGCGCATGTGTGACTTAAGCATACCGGACATAGAACACTTATATTCACATCTCTCACATGCAAACGGCTTTTCTCCCGTGTGAGTGTGCATGTGTTTCTTAAGATCACTGGAGGTCCTACACCTGTATTCACATATATCGCACGCATATGGCTTTTCACCCGTGTGAGTGTACATGTGTGTCTTAAGCCTTTCAGACGTAGAACACTTAAATTCACATCTCTCACATGCATACGGCTTCTCTCCCGTGTGAGTGCGCGTGTGATTCTTGAGATTACTGGAGTTCCTACACCTGTATTCACATATATCGCACGCATATGGCTTTTGACACGTGTGAGTGTACATGTGTGTCTTAAGCATATCAGATGTAAAACACTCATATTCACATCTATCACATGCATATGGCTTCTCTGCTCTGTGAGAGCGCATATGTTTCTTGAGACAACGTAACTTGAAGCTGGCGTATCCACACACATCACACACGTAGGACTTCTCTCCTCCAGGGCGTGGCATATCTGAATGAGAAGGCTCCATCAGACAGATCGCAGGTGCTCAGTTCTGCCTCGTTTTGAGCTCTCGCTAATGCTCTCCTGCTGGGAAAAAGATGCCAAAATAAATATCATCATTGACATACTGCAACACTGCATGTCACTGCCCCAGACATAACAAGGTACGCTACGAAGATGGGGTCACAGCTACAAATCCACCAGTAGTGACATCACCAGATTTAGCAATACGCGTGGGTGATGTGTGGAGAGTGGAATAAAAGCTCTTGCATCTCACAGAGGAAAATTCTAATCAAACTATGGCAGGGCTACCGCTGGCATTCGCCACCTTCGCAAAATGCGATGAATAAATAACAGTGACGATTTTATGACACTAAGTGACGAATAAAATTGGCGAATGGTTTAACTGCTCAGAAAATTATGATTGACTAACGAAATCGTCAAATTGCAGTGTCATGTCATAAAATGTTTTCGTACATCTCTTTTCTCGTACCCATTACCTGTTTATGCCTTGCTTAGCACATACGATAAAGTGAACAGTGGCTATAGTTTTTATTAGTGGCTGTAAAATAACGTTGGTGGCTCAAGTCTTAGCTTAAACTTTAAATTATGCAGAAGGAGCCCTGCTATGGGGTGTAAATACAGATAAGGGAGATTTCCTGTTTTTGAAGTCTCTCTTTCTTTGTGTCTCCCCTGCTTTGGAATCTCCTTTATTTCTGACTTTCCCATTCTTGAAGTCTCCCACACCTTGGAATAACTGGCAGTATGGAATCCACTAACTGAAATGCAGCTCTAATCCTAACAGAATAACCATGACCCTAATCCTTACCGAATCAAAGCTCTAACCCTCACCCCAACCGAATCATAACCCTAATCACAGCATAACAGAAGCTCTATCCCTTACCCTAACTTTAACACTTACTCTTACCGTAACTCTAACAATAACTCCAACCGAATTGTAACCCTAATCACAGCATAACAGAAGCTCTAACCCTTAACCTAACTCTAACACTTACCCTAACTCTAACCCTTACTCTTACCGTAACTCTAACACTTACCCTTACCCTAACTTTAACATTAACAAAATCGTAACCCCAATCGCAGCGTAACAGAAACACGACAGGTGGTGCGTGCGTGTAAACTATTCATGTAGCCTGCACGCCAAGATGGGCTGCATGAGCAAGCGTAACATGGTTGAGTAGCCACTCTGACGTGTCTACGCTGCCACCGGTTGCACTGTTACCCCAGGGAGAGTCATCGTGCCGACTAGAAATCACACGACTATGTAACGTCATAAACATTAGTCTTCTCAAGGTCTGAGAGACTATATCGAAGACGAATAGAGACAGAACGAATAAAAAAATCAACACTGCGGATCGCAGTGGAAAAACTTCAAGTTACCAACTAAAGAGGAAGGGAGAGAATTACAATACGGAATGACGGAGACAAAGAAACTAAATTTAAAGGGATCCTCTGAAGATGGCGTGTGACGAAAGTAACGATGACGCTCGATGTGCGGCCACGTATTGTGGATCGAAGGAGAGTTACGTGGCTAGCATCTCTACTTGTGTTGTAGCCCCTTGATCTGATATAACTATTAGTGTTACTGTAATGAAGCAGAAATCATGAGAGCGGAAATTAATATTGAAATGTAGGAATAGGGAGCATAGGCGATAGTGGCACGAGTATTAGAGAAATTAGTTACGATGTACATTCAATAATTAACATCGCAACGCTTAGAAGATTGGTGATTGGTAATGGGGGTGCTAGGTAGATGCACCGGTTAATGCAAGGGCCTGGGATATACGCCCTCGGACTTGCTGAGGTAGTCCACGAACAGAATCGTGGGACAGATAGCGAGAGTAGTGAGGTATGGGCACAGGTAGATTTACGCCCATGAGCAGAACTATACGAGATTCACCTGAGAAGGGTAATCGTTCTGTTTATGTGTCACGGTATAAGTATGACTCGGAGGATAGCACAGATGGGAAGGCTATTTCTAAATGATGGCATTTAGACGAGGCAATCTGAGCAAAAGTCGAAAAGGGTAGCAGATAATGAGCGAAATGCACTAGTGAGCCATTGTTGTTGTTTAACCGTTGCGGGAATCTGTGTGGTCATCATATCAGGTAGATAAGATGCCACCCACATTACAGTGTAAGATTCACTAGGAATGTAGCCCTAGAGCCTAAAACATCCAATACCCTTACTGATCCATTATTCCTATTGTATACCCAAAAGTGCATATTATAATATCTCGAGGCTCAAACCTGCGAGGTACGCAACCATTTTTGCCGACATACGATTGTTTCACAGCCTACGGGACGTGTTATTATTCCTCGTTGATTGAAGTATTCATTGATGTAAACTCAGCAGTCGTTAGTCACACGAATAAGTGCGCATGGCACACGCGAGAGACAATGACGAATTTTCAATGACAATTGTTGAAATCGTAGGCACGTTAATTTAAGCACGGTCGTATATTTCTCGTCGATATAACGTAGTATGTGTTCAATGTTATAGAATGCTATATACGTCGTAACGAATATATGATATCCCTAGATGATTAAATAACTTCATCGGATCTCTATAATTAACATACTAATAAAGTTCTCTAAAGTTCTCTAAGTTCTAATAAACATCTCAGTTAGATCCATAATAAGAACAAAATAACTTATTATCCCTAGAGTTTAGTCTACACATAAGGAGGTGAAGAGCAAAGGGGTTCTGCAGCGTGACTAGGTGTTCAGCACACTGGTGGCCATGCAGGGCTGGATTCCGAAGCCACGAAGCTCGATTATGATTCCTTAGTTAGACACGTAGCTAATAACATGTGGAAATGTAAATTATGAGCAATCCAGTGCACGACATGCAAAGCAGTGGGGGTGCGTGTCTCGCTGAGTGGCCGGGTGCGAGGGGGGCAGGCATGTGCTCCACGCTCGACCACGACACTGGCAGACTCTGTCTTCCCATTGCACTGCTAACACTCAGACCCCCACTGTAGAACGAAAAGACATCGTAGAACCATAAATATAGATATATCGGTAATATAGAACAAATATAGCCGTAGAAATATATATATGCACATTGACAACAGGGTAGAGTACGAATAATCGGTATAAAATGACACGGATAATGCTATATTCTACTCAGGTTGCATATACTCGCTGCACACGGTGTCGCTCAGATTTGTGCTTCATAACAGGCTTTCTATATAGTCCTTACGGGTTATCAGATTTCGGGTTTCTTCGGCCGGAGGCTGAAAAGCCGACGTTGTCAGCTTAATAAGGGCGTGGTGAAATGTAATAAAGCAGAAATCATGAGAGCGGAAATTAATATTGAAATGTAGGAATAGGGAGCATAGGCGATAGTGGCACGAATATTAGAGAAATTAGTTAGAGGGACAACGATTATAGCGTCCAACAGCACATTGAATAATTAACATCACAACGCTAAAGCCCGGCGCACACGTGAGTTATCTTACGCAAGTAAAATGACGCATGAGTCAAATTACTCAACGAAAATCCGCCGCACACGTGAGTAAAATGACTCATGTGTCATTTTACTTGAGTAAAATAACTCACGTGTGCGCCGGGCATTAGAAGATTGGTAATTATGCCAACGGCAAATGTTGCAAATAGTAGTGAGCCACGAAAGACATTAGATATCATATACATTAGAACTTGATTAGATATAGATTAGAGGTACATTAGATACGGAAGGCGAGCACGCAGTAGTCTGGGCTAAGATAAGTAGCCACGAAGCAACGCATGCAGAATAAAAGTAACCAGGGACATTTTGGCAGCCAGCCAGAGGCCAAAAGGTTGGGTTTGGACACAGTCAAAACTGACGTAAGATAGACCCGGTGGTCACTCGATAGGAATGTCCAACGCCGAACTAAGAGGGCAGATGGCCGAAGCGGACGGCGAGGCGAGAAGGGACGCTCCCGACGGTAAGGGCACGCCCAAGGGTATAAAAGAGGACGCGGAGAGAGAACATGGCCGGTTACGATGACAGAGTGCTGTGCGAAATAAAACAACGTTTTCCCTGTGACAATCCGACTGTTCACTTTATAACTGACTTGAATTTGTTCAATGCTACATTACTGTCCCACGCGCTCAGTTTATTTGCCAAACTAAAATACGTAAAGCCGGTGTCACGGTCTGAGAATACCCCAGTCTGAAATTTACCCAGCACGTCGTGCGAATGCGTGACGCATGCGCAGTAGCGCTGCTTGTAAAGCGCAGTAGCATGGGGCAAATGAGATTGCCGCGGTGGGGGCAGTCAGTGTTGTACCGTAGGGTTTAGACCGTAGTTCCTGCGATAACTAATACATATACTATACTATTATAGCTCATAATAAGCAGGAGATATCAACTAATTATGTTACAATCTACTCTTAGCCATTTGAGTTGACAATGGGTGGTTTTGAACAATGTTTATGTTCAAAACACCACACCGGCAAACTACCGCGAAGATGGCACACAGCCATGCACTCGTTCTGTGACTAGTCAACATTGATTAACTCGTCCAGCTATATGCAAGCACCTAGAAAAACGATCAGACGAAATAGAAGAACAAAGTTCCAAGTATTATGAAAAGTGCCAACACAATTATGTCGTTTAATACCGTGGAGTTACCATGTTATAGATACTTTAATGGCAAATTTCGTTTGAGGAAACGGTTAGTTACAAAATTTGTTCATAAAAATATTATAAGAATAATAAGAAGGAATAATTCAGGAATGAACAAAGAATAAACACAAATGTTGTTATTTACTCCTGATAATGAGAATACTTCAACTATCTCCCTCCTGCTCCTCCTCCTCCTCCTCCACCTCCTATTCCCACATCACCTTCTCCCTTCGATCTCCATCACCTTCTCACCTCTTGCTCATCTATCACTGTCTCCCCTCCTCCTCCTGCCCCCTACTCCTCCTCCTCCTCTTCCACCTACTCCAACACCTTCTCCCCTCCTCCGCCTCCTCCTTCTCCTCCTCCTCCATGACCTTCTCTCCTCCTCCTCCTGCTCCATCACCTTCTCTCCTCTTCCTCCTGCCTCCTACTCCTCCTCCATGACATTCTTTATTCGATCTCCATCACCTTCTCCGCTCCTCCTCCTCCTCCACCTACTCCAACACCTTCTCCCCTCCTCCTCCTCCTCCATCACCTTCTCCCCTCCTCCTCCTCCTCCTCCCTACTCCGCCTCCATCACCTTCTTCATTCGATCTCCATCACCTTCTCCGCTCCTCCTCCTCCTCCACCCCCTCCAACATCTTCTCCCCTCCTCCTCCTCCTCCATCACCTTCTCCCCTCCTCCTCCTCCTCCTCCCTACTCCGCCTCCATCACCTTCTTCATTCGATCTCCATCACCTTCTCCGCTCCTCCTCCTCCTCCCCCTACTCCAACACCTTCTCCCCTCCTCCTCCTCCTCCATCACCTTCTCCCCTCCTCCTCCTCCTCCTGTCCCCTACTACTCCTCCATCACCTACCTGCCATCGAACCTCTTCATTTCAATCTCCATCACTCTCTCCGCTTCCTCTCCTCTCCTCCTGCCTGCTCATCCGCCACTCCAACACTTTTCCCTCCCTCCTCCTCCCCTCCTCCCCCCTACTCCAACACCTCCTCCCCTCCTCCTCCTCCCCTAGTCCAACCCTTCTCCCCTCCTCCTCCCCTCCCCCTCCCCCCTCGTCATCCCCCCCTACTCCAACACCTTCTCCCTCTTCATTCCTCCTCCCCCTAATCTGTCCAACACTCTTCTCCCGCCTCCCCTCCCTCCCCCCCCTCCTCGCATCCCCCCGCCCACACTTTTCTCCCCTCCTCCTCCCTGACCTTTCTTCATTCGATCTGCCCATCAACCTATTCTCGCCCTCCC